TAAAATGCATTTATTGTGACCAAATATGTGATTTATTTAAAACAAGAATCACGGAAATATACCAGCAATGCAGTAAAAAAATCGGAAGCTTTTATCTAAAAAATGTGTTACTGAATTCACTTTAAGATATTTATCAGCAAATTCTGAACTTAAAGAATACTGTATTTACATGAATTATTTAAAACGCAAGTTAAACAAGTGGGAAATAATACAAATAAATCACTGGAATATACCAGCAATGCAGGAAATCGGGAGATTTTAAAAATATATATATATATATATATATATATATCTTGTATCTAAAAGAATTGTTACTGAATTCACTTTAAGGTATTTATCAGCAAATACGAAACTTAAAGAATACTGTATTTATGTGATTTATTTAAGTTAAACAAGTGGGAAATAATACAAAAAATCACAGAAATATGCCAGCAATGAAGGAAATTTTGAGCTTTTATCTAAAATATTTGTTACTGAATTCACTTTAAGGTATTTATCAGCAAATACCAAACTTAAAGAATACTTGATTTATGTGATTTATGTAAAACACAAGTTAAACAAGTGGTTAATAATACACAAAAATCACTGAAATATACCAGCAATGCATGAAATACGGAGCTTTTTTACAATATATATCTTGTATCTAAAAAATTCACTTTAAGGTATTTATCAAAGAAATACTGAACTTAAAGAATACTGTATTTATGTGAGCTATTTATGTTACCGTGAGGTTTTACAAGTTCTTATAGCCTAAACGAGGGGGAATGTTGTTTTTAATGCACTAAATGATGGAGTCTGTGTTTTCGTGTGTCCGTTTTAAGATTTAGGCCTGCATCAGAACTGCTGTTTTATTGACAATCTCCAGCACTTTCTCCAGAAACATGTTTTATTTTTTGCAAAACTTTAAAATTGCACTTCAAGCTTCTTTGGTACATTTTGTTTCTATGATCTCCTGCTTAAATGCAATAAAACACAATTTTCTTGGTTTGACCGAGTATTTTTTCTTGTGCTTTTTTAGACAGCGATGGATTGTTTTCCATTCAAATTTTCTTTTATTATTATTGCATAACAGAACAATAACATACACACACAGGTGGATCACAATGTATTCAACCATCATAATAGCATCAAAGGAAATAGAAAGAAAAACAATAAAATACAAATATAAAAAATTACACGGGATAATTTACAAAAAAGAATAGAATTCAAAATTCTATACATGCTTTTTTAATTCTTGCCTTTTTAAGGCCTCAATATAATGATTAAGTTAAAATTTGAACAATATAATGTTAGGTTTATTATTAGTCCATTTTTTGTGTGTGTTTATGGTTTTTTCCATACGTAATTATTAAGTTAAGCACCAAATTTTGTTCCAAAAACTTTTTTATAACAAAATAGTATCTTTACCAGATCCATAAATGACCAAATCAACACATTTTTCATTGCTTTTGTCATTCAATACAAAAGTGTTATTTCATAGTAATAAGGTAACCTCCTTCTGCTTGATGTGAATTTAGTTTTTTAGTCTGTTTTGATGAATTGCAGCCATAAAAATACAGTTCATAAATAATGTTCACCAGGTCTAAATTACAGTGCGTATAAGTAAATGCATATAATATGTCTAAACGTAAATTTTACGTTTTTTCTCTGATTTTATTTTACTTTGTTTTACTTTGAATGATTATTAGCTTATGTCTCATTGTATTGTTCTGGTTCATGGCATTAATTAAAAAAGAAAAAAAAAGAAAAGTGGATGCAAACGGGGGAAAAACACGTCAAGTAACAAACCCTAATTTATTACATAAAATATACATAAATATAAATACATTTATTTTAATGTTTAATTTCACGCAGTCGGTAAATATTTAGTTTTAGGAGTAACGGAGATTAAATGCGTCAGAATGTGAGTTAAGTTTCGTTTCTCAGAAAGTTCTGCCCATCATGATAGCTGTCCTGTCCAACAGACACACACACACACACACTCTGAGGAACAAGCTGAAAACATGTCCAACCAAGGTAACGTTAATCAAAGATCGGTTTTTCATTTATCAAACGAGATGCATTTTTACATTGTCCTTGTTTTTAGCAATTCAGGATTTGTTTGTTTTAATCATTGTTTATTGTATTGTTCATCTGTCCCAGTGAACTAAATCACGATTGCAGGAAATAATTGTAATATATTTATCACTGTTCATCATCTAGCCTACCTAGCTAACAAAAACAGATTTTCAGAACGTTTCCCATTATGTTATGAAAGCGTTATTTCTTAACGTTTAAACCAGGGGTCTCAAACTCAACTTAACTGGGGGCCGCTGGAGGTAGAGTCGGGGTCAGGCGGGGCCGCATCAAGTATTCCACAAAAAATAGTATTCAAGTATTCCATAAAAGGAGCACAACTGATCCAATCTTCTCAATATTTATTATTAACGTTTCTTCTGAACTGTTCCTCTGAATTTGAACATTCCTTTCTGTACATGATTGGTTCTTCATGAGCTGTCCTTCTGACAGTTGAAGTTCATTTTACAAACTTTCTTTTGTCGATAACACATATTTGTGATATTTATATTTGCTTATGTCCTTTTTATTTTCTTTATACAACACATTAATGATATTGAATGTTTTTTTTGGAAGGCACTTTTTCTTTTATTATACTTAGAAAAACAATTATTGCTTTTGAAATACAAATATTTGCAGTCATGTCTGCCCGTCTTATTAAATTTCTTCTACACATGTATAGTGTCTCAAATTACTGACTGCACAAATCAAAGCAAACCTTCTTATCAACCTGTTGGACACATATTACAAGCTCAAAATGATTATTCTCACATTGTTTTAGAGCAGGGGTCTCCAACACGTCGCTCGCGAGCTACCAGTAGCTCGTGGCCTGATTGGTGGTAGCTCGCCAAGGGGGCGTTCACATATCGCGCTCACATATTTTGCACGCTCAAGTTCGTTATTTCAAATGTAGGCGCGCGGCAAGCGCGCTCATAATTGAAGCGACGCGCTCATTTTTTCCAGGCGCAGTATGTTTGTACTTCGCGGTTGTCTATGACAACTATTGACAACAAACCCACCGTAAGCTGTCACGAGACTATCTATGGTAGCCCATAAGGGATAATTTTATTTTATTTTTTAAACGCGGCACACGCAACGACGGGCCGCACTAACATTAAACTTTAATGTCAAGTAGGGGGCCACAAAATATCACCCCGCGGGCCGCAAATGGCCCGCGGGCCGCGAGTTTGAGACCTCTGGTTTAAACCATGCGGTTCAGAACAAAAGAAGTGTGTGCTGCTAGCCTTCTTTTAAACTAAAAATAATAAAGTAGCCTACACTTATAGTATATATTTGACTCATACAGAAAGGTCTAAGTTTGATTGAGATACTCATGATTATGATATGATCGAGATTATACTTAATTTAGTAGGCCTATTCTAAGAATAATTGGCTTGTAGTTGTGTTTACCAGTGTCGATTAAATTTGTGGGTACAGCCTGTGGGTGGGACGAGTGTGTGTGTGTGTGCAGTGGCGGCTCCAGACAATTTTGATTGGGGGGGCAATGGGGTGTCCTGGTCATTTCAAGGGGGGTCTCATGAAAACCAACAAAAAATACAGTGGACACGGCTAATAACTGCATATTGCTGCTACTTAACAAATGGTAAATGGACTGCATTTATATAGCGCTTTCACAGATCCAATGGCCACCAAAGCGCTTTACATATTGCCTCACATTCACCCATTCACACACCGACGTTTTTTTGTTTTTAATTAATTAATCAATTGCAGTTTGCAAACAATATGCTCGAACTTTAATTGCCATAGCCACACCCATGACAGAAAACATATTTACAAAATAGTATCCTCCTCATCCTCCAATTCCTCTGTGTCCTGTTTCCAGTCTTTACTAAGAAATCCTATGAAAAATTATTTACAAAATCTTCTGCAGGACAGTTCAATTCTTTACAATAATATAATATATTATAAAAGAAAGTTAAGCTGTTACACTGAGATGGTTTAGGAAAACCATAAAGTGTTTTTGTACAGTCAATTAATTGTACAGGCAGCATTAAACCATCAAAGTTAAATGATTGTTTATAGCTTATGAATTTCCTAGCCTATATTTTCTTTAGCAGGGGGTTTCAAACTTTTTAATGGCAATGAGCCCTAAACAATACCCTTGTGAGATTCTTTATTTAGGCTTATAATATAATAAAATATATGCCCAGTATAATATAATATAAAAAAATGAATTGAAGTATTTGAAGTGATAGTTTAAATGCTTCAATTTGTTTTCATATTATATTATTATAATATGAAAACAAACTGAAGCATTTACTGTAAATAGCTAGATCTAATAGCTAAATATTTTCAAGAAAAGTCAATATGTGAACTCTTATAGCCTAATCTAACCATGCCTGAAACTATTTAAATCTATGTAAACTAATGATGTATTTTGAGTTTGCACGCGGGTGGGTGTGTAATTGTTACCGTTCTGTGTCCATCATCCGTTATTTCCACCACTTTAATCAAACCACTCTTCTTTAGAACATGATATTGTGATTTTATTTCACATGTCTTTGCGTTTCTCGTCGCCTCTCGTATTGAGATAGGCTATTTGGTCCGCACACACGACTCACTGCCAATCACACGCGCTCACATCATTCTCTTTCTTTGAAACCTGTTAACTGCACTCACCAGTTTGAGCACTGCAATTATTTCTCACATACAATCAAATGGATTTCCCCACACATTTCGCGTCAGTCCTCTGCGTGGCACATTATTCTTTTCTGCGCGGCCGCGGCATCAGAAGTGCACGGCCGCGCACGCGCGCAGCTTAGAGGGAACGTGATTCTTATGTTTATATATTTTGTATGTCGAATAAATTATTAATTATTATTGTTCTGCGTAGTTTGAAGATAAACATTTTTAAAAATTTATCCCGGATATATATATTTTTTAATCAGGAAGGGGGTGGGGGGTCAAATGGGGGGTCAAAGCAT